AAACGCATCTCAAACCCCGTTGCACACCGTTTCCAGGAAACATGTCGTTCAAACCGGAAACCGTAGCAAAACGGTGCACACCGGTTTGAGCTTGAACTTGCCCCAGGTCACGCATGCACTTCCGTATTTCACCACAGATTTACATTGGTGCTGTTGAGTTCGGAAGGGCAACGGCATCACCTGCCCCGCTTAGCACTGTACACGTATTAAACGGATAGTTCACCCAAAAATGAAAATTCTGTCATTAATTATTCACCCTCGTGTCGTTCCAAACCCGTAAGACCTTCGTTCATCTTCGGAACACAAATTAAGAAATCCGAGAGCTTTCTGACCCTGCATAGACAGCAACGCAACTGACACATTCCCAGGCCCAGAAAGGTAGTAAGAACATCAGTAAAATAGTCCATGTGACATCAGTGATTCAACCGTAATGTTATGAAGCTATGAGAATACTTTTTGTGCACAAAGAAAATAAAAAATAACGACTTTATTCAACGATTTCTTCTCTTCCGGGTCAGCCTCCGCCGCCATTCACGAGAGTATCCCTTTAACCCCCTGGGGTCCGAGGGTGTTGGGGGCCTGGAGAAGTTTTGACATGCCCTGACATTTGTGCTTTTTTCAGTATCGTAAAAACATTTTAATGGCTAAAGTCTGATTACTGTATTCAGAACAAACTGTGCTACAATAATATGTAATCAGCATGTATGTACATGTTGGTGTTTTTGAGAAAACATCGTTTATGCGTGGTTAGTGAAAAACTAAAATGTTTAAGTAACATTTGTTCACAAGACTTTGGAGAACTGGATGTGGTAGACTAGATTTTTTTGCTACAAAATGATGTGAAAATCATCCTTCCCACTTCAAACAATATATTGATCTAACTTTTGTTTTGTGTTAGAAGGGCCGTATGCGAGGGAGTGACAATGACTATGAATATTTAATGATTCACACCTGAGAGACAAAGGACCCTCCCCTAATGGCCCATCAGTGTGACTGTAACTGAGGCAGGTAAGAAAAAGTGTGAGGAGACTAAAATAATGGGGGTTTTGATTATTTGTATTTTATTTACAACACAGTATAATCAAAATATACACAGTGAAGGCCAAAGACACATTATTGAGCACACTGATGTAAACACTGAGACTTGAACAGTCAAGCACTTTAATGCCATTTATGAAACAGATCCTGTTCAACTGTTGAAACCCTACCTGGTAGGGTTTTTCCAATTTCCAATCTGTTTGCTGCTTCTTTCCATGGATTCAAGAAAACAAAAACAGCCCCATCATCAGTAATCATGGAGCTTATTTTACCATATTTGTGCAGAATATCTGCCAAACGTAGTTGAACAGCTTCTGATGTTGGTACAGCACTCTCAGAAAAAAACAGTTTGAAGTGAAGTCTTCAAGGTATCTGGTCACCAAAAAAAACAAAACACACATCTGTTAGCATGTTGATATCAGGAGCAACTATATTATTACATTAGAAATCAATAATATTGCCCACTCATAACTCCTATAATAAAAAAAAACATGATTTTGTAGTCATAAACACAAGCATGTTTTATATGTATTATACAATACAAAATCATTTTATGTCTGAGAAACATCTCGGTTACATATGTAACCTTGGTTCCCTGAATAGGGAACGAGATGCTGCGATGACGTCATCGCTATGGGAACACCTCCGGTGTGACGAATGTTGGCCTGGAGAAGTTTTGACATGCCCTGACATTTGTGCTTTTTTCAGTATCGTAAAAACATTTTAATGGCTAAAGTCTGATTACTGTATTCAGAACAAACTGTGCTACAATAATATGTAATCAGCATGTATGTACATGTTGGTGTTTTTGAGAAAACATCGTTTATGCGTGGTTAGTGAAAAACTAAAATGTTTAAGTAACATTTGTTCACAAGACTTTGGAGAACTGGATGTGGTAGACTAGATTTTTTTGCTACAAAATGATGTGAAAATCATCCTTCCCACTTCAAACAATATATTGATCTAACTTTTGTTTTGTGTTAGAAGGGCCGTATGCGAGGGAGTGACAATGACTATGAATATTTAATGATTCACACCTGAGAGACAAAGGACCCTCCCCTAATGGCCCATCAGTGTGACTGTAACTGAGGCAGGTAAGAAAAAGTGTGAGGAGACTAAAATAATGGGGGTTTTGATTATTTGTATTTTATTTACAACACAGTATAATCAAAATATACACAGTGAAGGCCAAAGACACATTATTGAGCACACTGATGTAAACACTGAGACTTGAACAGTCAAGCACTTTAATGCCATTTATGAAACAGATCCTGTTCAACTGTTGAAACCCTACCTGGTAGGGTTTTTCCAATTTCCAATCTGTTTGCTGCTTCTTTCCATGGATTCAAGAAAACAAAAACAGCCCCATCATCAGTAATCATGGAGCTTATTTTACCATATTTGTGCAGAATATCTGCCAAACGTAGTTGAACAGCTTCTGATGTTGGTACAGCACTCTCAGAAAAAAACAGTTTGAAGTGAAGTCTTCAAGGTATCTGGTCACCAAAAAAAACAAAACACACATCTGTTAGCATGTTGATATCAGGAGCAACTATATTATTACATTAGAAATCAATAATATTGCCCACTCATAACTCCTATAATAAAAAAAAACATGATTTTGTAGTCATAAACACAAGCATGTTTTATATGTATTATACAATACAAAATCATTTTATGTCTGAGAAACATCTCGGTTACATATGTAACCTTGGTTCCCTGAATAGGGAACGAGATGCTGCGATGACGTCATCGCTATGGGAACACCTCCGGTGTGACGAATGTTTGAAGCCCTTATACCATCACATCAATATATTGGCCAATAGCGCTTAGCACCGCCCCGAGCATACGTCACGTATGCTCATATATGCGTGCTGCGCACTATTTCATCAGATTTTACACTATGACGAAGGAAGTGCTATCGAAGGTACGGAACGGCCAGCATCGCAGCATCTCGTTCCCTATTCAGGGAACCAAGGTTACATACGTAACCGAGATGTTCCCTCTCAAAGGTTCACTTCAATGCTGCGATGACGTCATCGCTATAGGAACGCTATA